ATCCATGAAAGATCCTCTTTGTATTCTATAAAATTTAATCAGACCAATTGCGACATATTCTTAAATCATATTAGGATGTTTACACCTCTGATATCGGAGGCCTTTAAAGACTCTTGTGATGCTGAGCTTTCATTTTCAGAAATTACAGATGCTGTGCATTCAATGATGTAAGGAAATGAGAGGTTATTACCTTTTATTTAATGAGCCGTAAGGCGTGGGATTCCATAGTAAACATGAAATCCACCTTACGGATCGAGGGTTATTTAAACCAGAAGATTGGATCTTTTTATTGCAGAGATTATGTAACCGTTATGTATTCACTCAGACACAGAATAGAGAGAGTCAAGTTTAAAAGTTACGAATTTTATTACTAACAATTAAACTAGACTTACTTTAAACTAAATGTTTAGTGTAACTAAAAATGGATGAGACGGTGAATGGATGACGTGTGATGTAATCAGAACCAGCAAATCCGAAGAAGCGATTAGTTCTGATGGGAACTGAAGATGTTGTTTTGAAATAAGCTTGGGTTAGTTTCAGAAACGCATGAGACACCATCAAGTCGGGTCTACCTGCCTTGTGGAAGTCCTCTGTAGATCAGGAATGCTGAGGCCCAGCGGACCCTCTCTGGAAACTGCGCTGGTAGAAGAAGCCGCGGTTCCGACCAGACCCGTCTTGAGTTACCTCCAGCACACGACTCTTTTATTGGCATCTGTTCAGACCCAGCCTGGGTCGGTGGAGCTTTTATTCTGAAAGGAGCTGTTGTTGCCGCCGGTTGTTATAGCGATCAGATTTTTCAGCTTGTCGTTGGTTCTTTATTAAAGAGTTAAAGGTCGGATTGGCCACTCCGACGCTTGCTCTGGAACACTTTGAACTGGCGTTAGAGCTGACGTGGCGTAGTTTTATTCCTCAGATGTTATGGTTTATTGTCGAATGAAAATTACCAAACACTGTCAGAAGCACGCCTCTGTCAGATCTGTAAGATTCTGATTGGATCAGTGAAAGGAATGTGTCATGTCCTTTTAACACTACGTGAAATGAGTCCTGTTGGAATCCTTAAAGTCACAGTACTTATCATTTCTATAAGATCATAAAAAAAATTAATATTTTAATTTCACAGGTCGGTCACATCTTATTATTGACTAACACTTTGATGGATTAGCTTTATTAAAATAGAATTCTTTGATTAATTAAAAGAAAAGAGTTCATTCTTCCTTCTTCTGGCTTCATTGCTGGAACGTAAACAGTTTAGAAGCGAATGCATGCCCTTGAGGCTGTTTCATGCACTCTGGCACTGTGTCAAAAGGGAACAGTTGTTAGAGTATAGAAATGGCTCCTTCATCACGTTACAATGAAGTTAGGAAAGTCACCTGATAGTGACGGACTCTCAGTAGAATTCTATTTTTGTTTTTGGGAATTAATTGATAATCACTTTTTTCTGATGTTCAAAGAATGTATAAGTAGGCAAGAAATGACAACAACCATGAAACAAGGTCATATAACTCTGCTCCCTAAGACAGACAAAGATTCTTTAAAAGAAAAAAATTGGAGACCTATCTCGCTTTTAAATATGGATTACAAAATTTTATCTTTGGTTTATGCAAAAAGACTAAAAAGGATTTAGGTGAGATATTAAGTGAAAACCAGAATGATTTCTTCCCAAATGTCTCATTAGCTCTAATATTAGACTAGTGTTGGATCTAATGGATTATTCAAATTTTATAAACTCTGATGCTTTGATGGTTTTCCTTGACTTTTATAAGGCATTTGATTCGATTGAACACACCTTCATTTTACAAGCACTTCAAATTTTAGGTTTCGGAGAGTCGTTTATTAGTGTTATTGAAATGTTTTATAAAGATATAAGCAGCTCAACTATCTTATATCCGTGGATGTCTGGGAGGTTTCCGATATTAAGAGGTGTACGACAGGGCTGCTCAATTTCTTGCTTTTTGTTTCTGATTGCCGCTGAACTTTTGTTTTTAAATATTTCACACAATCCAAATTTTCATGGTTTAGAAAATTTTAATAAAGAAGTTAAGATGTCCCAATTGGCAGATGACACAGTCTTGTTTCTTAGAGATAAATCACAGATACCAAATGCTCTAGATGCAATACAGGAATTTTCAGGAGCCTCAGGACTGAAGCTAAATGTTGATAAAAGTGAGATTTTATGTTTATATGAAACCAATGACCATTATATGTTCAATATTCCCATCAAACAAACAGTTAGATATTTAGGAATTCACATAATAAAAGACAAATTGATGAGACGAACATTAAATCTGCAATCAAGGATTAAAAAAACTCATTTGATTCTTAATATGTGGCTGCAAAGGGACCTCTATTTTTGGCAGGGTGTTGTTAACAAAAGCGGAAGGCATATCAAGGTTAGTATATCCCGCTCTCTCCCTTCATATTAATAATGCAACTTGTAAAGGAGTTAACAGTTCATTTGTAATCTTTGTCTGGAAGAACAGGTATCATCTAAAAAAAGACATACTCTATCTGGAAAGAGCAAGGAGGGGGGGGGGGGCTTAGAACTCAAATTTTTTCCGCTTAAACAACACCTTTAAAGTCAAATGGATTAAAAAATGTCTAGAAATGCCAGAATCTTTGTGGAATTTTATTCCACGTAACACATTTAAAATGGTAGGGGGTTTAAAATTACTGTTGCGTTGCAACTTTATTGTTTCTAAATTACCAGTAAAACTTTCAGTGTTTTACCAGCAGGCTTTACTTGCGTGGAAATTATGCCATACACACAATTTCTCTCCACACAAAGAAATATTATGGAGTAATGGTAATATTACTATTAACAACAACAGCTTATACAAAAGTAATTGGGTTGAGAAAGGCATTATTTTTGCTGCAGATTTATTTGATGATAATGGAAGCCTTTATAGCTATGAAAACTTTTTGAAAACTAAGAATTTTCCAGTGAAATACAGAGAATTTGCCTCGGTCATGAGAGCCATATGTTCAGTTAATGAGAGCACACTCTGTTTATCAGAGATTTAGTTTGCAGATGCCATCTCTAAAAGTTGGGGGTGTTGATTTATTAGACAAGAAATGTCCAAATCAACATATAAGAAAGGTTTTATGTTGTTCTATTACGGTGGCACCCAAAGGAAGGTTTTTCTGGGGCGACGGTGGCACAGGAGTTAAGTGCTCGCCCCGTAATCTGAAGGTTGCAGGTTCGAGCCCCGCTCAATCTGTCCTTGTGTCCTTGGGCAAGACACTTAACCCACATTGCCTGCTGGTGGTGGTCGGAGGGACCGGTGGCGACAGTGCTCGGCAGCCTCGCCTCTGTCAGTGCGCCCCAGGGCAGCTGTGGCTACATCGTAGCTCATCACCACCAGTGTGTGAATGTGTGTGTGAATGGGTGAATGACTGATTGTGTTGTAAAGCGCCTTGGGGGGTTCCAGGATTCTAGAAGGCGCTATGTCAAATACAGGCCATTTACCATTCTGGAACACACAGTTTGTTATAAACCGGAAAAAAAGCATGGATGGTTCACTTTCAATACCGTATTTCAATAAGATAAGAGAACTTTCAAAATTTTACACAATATTTATCCATGTAATAAAAAATCATCATTGTTCAGAGATCTGGATGAAAAATGTACCTTTTGTCATACTGGTTCAGAGACTATTAGGCACTTATTTCATAATTGTCCTCTCTCATCTGGACTTTGGAAAGATATGGAAAATGTTATTAAGATTAAATCCAAACAAACTATCCAAATCAGATCTAAGGATTTTATTGTCAAGTTTGAATGTAATGATAAAATGTTAAGTTTTATAATTAATCAAATGCTTCTTTTAGGGAAATTTCATATTCATAAAGCGAGGGTCTCCAAATCTCTCCCTAACTTTTGCGTTTTCTTAAATGACTTCCACTCCTATGTAAACACCATAAATTGTAAATAAGAAGGCAGAACTCACTTTAATGATTCTTCAATGTTTATTTCTGATTTACCCTGCATAACAAAAATAAATAAATAAAAAAACCCATAATGTGCCTTTTGGAAGGTTGTATTGTTATCTGTTATGTGCCTCTTGTCGGTTAATGAGCTGATGTCTGTTCGTGTGTATATTTGACGTATGTTTGTTAGTTTGATTCTGTATTTGTGACAAAAACAAATAAAGCTTGTTAAAAAAATAGATCCTGAAACTACAGCTCCAGAAAACTACCATTAGCATTGCATTCTCTCGATGGAATTAACTGAAGGACCATCAAAGTTTGAGGAGCCACGACGAGGTCCCATGCTTTCTGCTCCACATGTAGCATTTACCGTAATAACACTAGCAACAGTCATGGCGACATGGTGTAAAACTTACCCTGAAATGTATGTATGCACTGCCCCCTAGCATCAGAAACTACACACTGCCACTTTAAAGAGCAAGTCATCCCTTAACATGGTCTTACTCCACTCCCACTTCCTGTTTGAACAATTGCCTGGCAGACCTAGAGGGCGGAGCCGCAAACAAATACACACACACACAAAGGCTCACAACGACATTGTGACATAATGTACCAGTTAACATCATAGAGTACCTCTGCAATGGCAGATTCAAATCCAAATGCAGTGCAGCGTTTTCACCTGCAAACAGCACAACACTGACAGTTTCGGGCAGACTATTTAAATTTGAACCAAGATGCACTAAAGTGTAGAACTGCATTCTGCATCCAGCACATTTCCTGCATGTTTTGGATCATGAACACAGCTGATTTGTTTCATTTAGTGATGAATCAATCTTGTAGAAACTATTGAAGGCTGGGGAGAAATTTTAGCAGATAGATTAGGGGGTTAAAAAGACGACCTAATAAACGGACATTAGGGGGCGATAAAAACAAGCCAAATCTGCCTAGTGTGCCTTTAATCGGATGTTTGCTTGGATGCATGGTTGTAAAATTATGCTACAAAAGCATTTGTGTTAATGAAAAATAACTGAGGTTTCTGGTCGCCTGTTTGATTTACGTGGCACTTCTCACAGCAGGAGAACAAGGACCATGGGGTCACCGGAGAGCAAGCTGGAGACAGGAAGGTGGAGCTGGAGAGACTGGAGGGAGCTGAGTTACATAAAAGACTGGCCAAAGTGGATCCCAAAATGGCTGCCATGTTGCACCCCAACGACAAGCGCAAGATAGCCAGGTGATGCATCTGGTAATGACTCTGATTCGTTACAAACGGAGCTTCATACAATTTGCAGTATTTTAGATTTAATAATCATGAATATTATTCGGCGTAACTCACGCAGATGCTTCTGACACGCTCGTTGTTCAGTGTGCACGCTGGATGTGTGTTTCATTCATAAAGATTATTCAAAAGGTATTTTTTCGACTCCACCGTTAATATTTATGTTTTAAGGAGTAACGAGACACACTGGAAAAAGTGTCCCTGATCCTCAACAGAAACTGAAAGACAACGGAGGGAGGATCAAACACAGGAGGAGGTGTTAAACATGATGTAACGACTTGGCTATGGAGTGCTTCTCTGGCTGTGGGACGAACTGGTTCTTTGTTGTTTTACAAACCAGTGCTATCAGCACCAGCCTTAGTTTTGCACCGGAACTGCTTTAGTGGAAAAGTCCTGTTAGTTTCTTATCATTTTGTCCAAGTTATCCATCATTATAGAATTGTACAATATCCTGTTTCAGCACTGACGAAGAGGTGCGCTAAGTCAGGTTCCTTAACAAGAAACCCCCCATAGTCATCTTTTACGTTGGTTATGGGATCTGAAATGGCTTCTGTTTGTTAAAAAATGCAACTTACTGGGAGATAAAGAACGTTTTTCTAGATGCATCTTGATTGGAAGAAAAATTATTTTTTGATAACCTAAATACGGAACGACTATAATGCTTTTCTGAGTAAAATCTCTATGCAGACATGATAGATCATCGACTTTAAACCTGCTTTGATTATTTAAAGGTCATTTCTGGAAGTTTCATATAAACATGCAGTGGGGTAAACAAGTATTTGGCGGCCATCGATTGTGGAAGTTATTCCACTTACAGATATTAATCGTCATCATAGGTACACTTCAACTGTGAGACAGAATGTAAAGAGTACAGGAAATCACAGTGGGTGATTTTTTAAAGAATTTATTTGCATAATGGGGCATTTATAACTGCTATGGCATTATAGAGGTTTCTCAGTTTGTATTACAGACTCAACCCAACCAGAAGGGCTACGGTTTTGTTGCTACTGGTGACATTTATGCTAATTAATATAAAATGTTATTTATGTTGTGAAAAATTAAAGACTAAGTTCACTAAGAACCCCATCTTTTACCTGTGAGTTTAACACACATGCTAAATGTGAAAATAGTCTACCACCCCTAAAAATAGTCTACCACCCCTATTTCCTGCGTTAGCCACTGATACAGAATAGATGGGAAAAGCCAGTCAGATCTTCGTCACACTGAAAATTACATTTAAGACTCCATCTTGACTCACGATGCGGAATGCTGTTGTTGATTTGGCGTCCACGAAACAGCAGCGCACGTCTTAATTAATAGAAGCTAACTGTTAGCATTAGCAACTCCACAACATTACTCCTTCATGCTTTTGTTATTAATGGAGATAAAACATCAGTGGTGCAGAGCAGTGGTAGAGCTACATTGCTGTTAGCCAATCAGTAGACAGAACTCCCAATATCAGGAAATAAGACTCAGATCCTGCCATCTTCTGCTCTCCACTCTTCTGGCCAACTTCTAGTTCCTGAAACAGAAGCTCCAGAGCGTTTTTTTTTCCCCATAAAGATCGACTCACAAGGCATTGTTTTATACTAGAGAGCACTGTGTTGGCAAAATGAGTGAATTTGGTCTTTAAACAGTTTAGAAAGTATTATTGTACAAACTGCATCAGAGGTTTTTATATTGGAGCTTTTTTAAGGTGGCAGCAAAACACTTGCAGTAGTTGCACTAGCTGTTAGCTAGTCTGTCCTGTTGGACACCAAAGCTGTTTCTCTAAACGGAGCCTTTTCAGGAAGCTTCCTAAAACAGTCACGTGTTTATTGCTCTTACATGGAAACACTCTTCAGAATGGCTGTAAAATCCCTCTAGGTGCTCATAACCTCTCCACAGAGGCTTGTTTTAAGAAGATATCAGCTTTCCTTTTAAGAACCCAGACACGTCACACCAGACTGCGTTCCTCATGTGGGATAAAATGATTTAACGGGGCTGTGCCGTGTCTTCCATCTAGTCTCGTATGTCACTTTTGAGTTTTCTCTTGTCTTTTGACTTGACACCTGCAGTACACAGGCTCAGAGCACCAATGTGCACACACACACACACACACACACACACACACACACACACACACACACACTGCTTGATGAATAGCAGTCTGATTTAGGCGTTTCTCTTATGCGAGCAGGTTAGGCTGCCCTGGCCTTTAATCTGATAGGAGATGACAGGACTGTTGTTTTTACCCTGGTGTTCATCCAAAATGGAAAAATATGTGATTTTGCATATAAATCTCAGTGTTTCCTAAGTGTGTTAAACATTAACTGTTTGGATGTGACACTTGTGTTCTTGCAGAAAATGTCCTCGACATAGTTTTGTTTGAATTTCCTTGTCTGCAGTTGTTTTAGTGTGTTTCACGTGCATCGGTTATCATCCACACTAGAGGTAGTTGGAGGTTTTTATTTTCAGTGGTGTACTCGTCTCATCTAAGAGGTTATATCCTCAAAACTGAGAGGATTACACAGAAAGTGTCCAATTTAGATTTGGATTATACTGAAACCTATCACCTCCACTTCCTTTTATTTATATCTGCAGAAGTCTTCAAATTCATGAGAAGACCGGTATCCCCCATAGCCTTTGGCTAGAGGAGCAGAGGGAGCAGGAGGGAGGCGATGACCTTGGAGGACCGCTAAGGTACCCAGACGCCTGCATATTCTGGCTACATGCAGACTTGGAGGGTAAGAAACTGCGTCGCAAACATTTAATGAATGTAGGATGCAGCAAATAACCAGACCTGCTCTTTGTCTTGTAGCCCTAGACAAGCGGTTAGACGGTCGTGTAGATGAGATGTTGTCTGCAGGACTGATTCAAGAGCTCAGAGACTTCCATATCAGATATAATCAACAGAAGGTCCAGGATGAAAGGTAGGAAAATGAGCACAGAAATAATGACTTTTTCTCTGAAGAGGGAAAAACCTGGATTTTATAATCATGTTTGGGGTTTTTTTCTGTCTCTTGAATGTTCTTTATTCAATCAACCAATCAACCAATCAATCAATCAAACTTTATTTATATAGCACTTTTCATACAAAAGAAAATGCAGCTCAAAGTGCTTTACATATTAAAATGACCCCATATAACCCATATCCCCATCCCTTCCCTAAAAATTTAAAAACACCCCCCATCCCACAACCCCTTTACCAGGCACACACACACACACACGCGCGCGCCATCAGGCTTGAATCTCAGTTACTCATGAGGCAGCTCAGTCAACAACATAGACTAAAAGGGTTTTAGTTTTGTGAGTGTTACAATGCACAAGTTGCCCTGATGGAGCGGAGATGAAGTGATGATGTGACCGGATATCGGTTTGAAACCCTGATAGAGAGCTGTGATTGGCCCGTCAGAATGCTCCTAGGGGCCGTCGAGGTTCCAGTGGAGCGTTCCTAGACCAAGTTATAGGTTTAGATTAGCCTAGTGAACTAGACCAAATTCTTGCTTTGCAAAGTTTGGTCTAGGCACGCTCCATTGGAACCCCTGCAGCTCCTACCAGGACTCTGGATGGCCAATCACAGTTCGCTAGAGGGGTTTCAAACAAATAAAGAGCTGTGATTGGTCCATAATGGTAGGCCAATCGTTGTGCTCTATCTGCTTAGTGAACAAATCACAGAGCTTTATCTGCTTTGTGGGCCAATCACAAAGCAGGTGGTGGGTGGGATGATGCAACAGAGTGAAACAAGATGGCGACAGCTCGTTTGAAACAGATTTTACATCAATTTTAGACTATTAGAACTTGGGCTTCATTAGAATCAGGAGCAGATAGATGTATTTAAGTGCTTTTTTTTTTTTTTAAGAAAAAAGTATGTGTTTTCTCCTTCTTTAACTGCGGACCGCCTCATTTAACGATATCTGTTGTGGTGAGTATGTCACATTCCTTGTCCAGTGGAATGCGGAGATCATTTGAAAGACAACGGTAGAACCCGCCCCACAACCAAGAGCCGTCAATAGAGCGTTGCCAGACTAAATAATACATTTACTATTATATTAATGTTATAATAATATTATAATACATTTATTTAGTCTGGCTTGCCAGGCTAGGTTTAGAATAGAATAGAATACTTTATTTGTCAATTTCTTCGAATGTGCTTGCCATACAAAGGAATTGAAATTACGTTTCACACTGTCCCATGCGTAGACATTAGCATAAAGTGCAGATGCACAACAATAACAAAAACAAAAAACCTCCCTAACAATAAGATAATATTAAACAGGTAAATATCGCTAATAATATACAAAACATATAGCAGCAGGTGTGTGCAATTTCAATGCAGAGGTAGTTGTTTACAATCAGAAATGTTTACCCCGTTCTTGGTTCAACCACTACTTCCTTTTTGTATAATGTGCATGTATGTGTGTGTGTGTGTGTGTGTGGTGGGGGTGGGGGTGGGGGGTGGGGGGGGGGGGTAGGGTCCAGTCTGTCATCCTATACTCCTGTCACCCTGGTGATTCTGCTGGCTGGGATCTGTGAGGGAAGAGAGTTCAGTAGTCTCACAGCCTGGTGGATGAAGCTGTTGGTGAGCCTGGTAGTGCGGGAGCGGAGACTTCTGTATCTCTTTCCAGAGGGCAGGAAGCTGAACAGACAGTGCGCGGGGTGGGTGGCGTCGTTGACAATTGTGATGGCTTTGCGGGTGAGGCGAGTGGTGTAAATGTCTTGCAGGGAGGGGAGTGGTGCACCAACTATCCTCTCAGCTGTTCTCACAATGCGCTGTAGAGCTTTCCTGTTATAGTCAGTGCAGCTACCGCCCCACACAGTGATACAGCTGGAGAGGATGCTTTCAATAGTTCCTCTGTAGAATGTGATCAGGATGGGTGGTGGAGCACTTGCCCGCTTGAGTTTGCGCAGGAAGTAGAGGCGCTGTTGTGCTTTCTTGGCCAGTGAAGCTGTGTTGGTGGTCCAGGAGAGGTCCTCCCTGATGTGCACCCCCAGGAACTTCGTGCTGCTCACTCTCTCCACCGCAGCGTCGTCGATGGTCAATGGGGGGTAGTTCATGTGGCCTCTCTGGAAGTTGATAATGATCTCCTTGGTCTTACTAACATTTGGCTGGAGGTTGTTGTCTCTGCACCAAGTGGTCAGGAGCTCAACCTCTTTCCTGTAGTGGGTCTCATCGCCCTTGGTGACGAGCCCCACCAGCGTTGTGTCGTCCGCAAACTTCACAAGGTGGTTGGAGCTGTAGGTTGGTGCGCAGTCATGTGTCAACAGGGTGAAGAGCAGAGGACTGAGCACACAGCCTTGTGGAGCCCCCGTGCTCAGGGTGATGCTGTTTGAGACCTTGTTGCCCACACGCACCACTTGCGGCCTCTGGCTGAGGAAATCCAGCAGCCAGTTGCAAAGGGAGGTGCTGAGGCCCAGTCTGTCCAGTTTACAGATGAGTTGTTGTGGTATTATGGTGTTGAATGCTGAGCTAAAGTCTATGAACAGCATTCTCACATATGAGTCTTTCTTGTCCAGATGTGTTAGGGCTGGGTGGAGGGCAGAGCAGATTGCATCCTCTGTGGATCGTTTCGCTCTGTATGCGAACTGGTATGGGTCCAGAGTGGGAGGTAGGGTGGATTTGATGTGTGACATGACTAGTCGTTCAAAGCACTTCATAATAATGGGTGTCAGTGCCACGGGGCAGTAGTCATTGAAACAAGCTGGGGATGGTTTCTTTGGTACAGGTATGATGGTGGCAGTCTTGAAACATGATGGGACAGTGGCTTGCCTCAGGGAGGTGTTAAAGATGTCTGTGAAGACCTGCTTCAGCTCCTCTGTGCAGTCTTTCAGCACACTACCAGGGATGTTGTCCGGACCTGCTGCTTTCCGGGCGTTGATGGTGATGAGTGTCCTCTTCAGGCACAGAGGCTGGTCGTGTGGAGGTGGTGGTGTTTTCTGTGGGCGTGTGTTGTTCTGTGTCTCAAATCGTGCAAAGAAGCTGTTCAGGTTGTTGAGCAGAGTGGTGTCGTTCTCACAGCTACGCGCTGCAGGCTTGTAGTCTGTAATAGACTGGATGCCTTGCCATAGGCTCCGTGCGTCCTTGCTGTCATTGAAGTGGGAGGTTAGATTAGTTAGATTCAGTAGATTAGATAGGATTTTGGTGTAAACTTGAATGTGAAAAAGACTTCACTCACTAATTCAAATTTATATTTTAACACCACAGTCAGTTAGATCAATAAAACTCCAACATGTTTAAAATACTTCCTCTGGGAGGCAACCTGATCCTGGTGGAAGTCCACCAATTGGAGAGTACAACCTTTAATCAAATTGTCCATCATTACCATGGTCCATTTTATAACTTTTTATTATAATGTTTTTTGGTAAAATTTTCTTTGTTCCTGCATTATTTTGATGCTGGTTGTGGTTTTTCATTGTTTTTTCCATAGTTGTTAGTACTGTGTTGAAAAAATCTTTACTCTGATTCTTGTAAAAAATCATTTAGAATGATTTGCTCATCCAAAGATCAATTTCTTATTTGCACACAGTTAAATTGTGACAATTGTACTGGTCAGCAGCTAGGAATGTGTATTGGTGAAATGTTGACGATACGATACGTATCACGATACAGGGGAGACAATATTTAGTTGTATCACGATTTATTGTGATACATTCAGTCAGACATTATTAGCGATTTTTTTAACTGAATTTATTGAAAAAAAAATTCAACAGTCTAAACTGATACTTAATATGTTTAACATGAACCATAACAGAGGGATTTACATTTCAGTGAAAACCCAATGCACACTTCTGCTAACTAGTGGTCAGCGTTTGTATTGCATCTAAAGAAAAGAAAATACACAAATGTTTGAATGTACAGTACAGGCAAATCATTTGGACACACCTTTTCATTCAATGTAATGCCAAAGTAGTCTTTCAAGACCGTTGGAAACCCATTTCAGGTGACTACCTCTTGAAGCTCATCGACAGAATGCCAAGGGTGTGCAAAGCAGTAATCAGAGCAACGGTGGCTTTTCTGAAGAAGATAGAATATAAAACATATTTTCAGTCATTTCACCTTTTTGGGTTAAGTACGTACCTCTACGTGTTCATTCATAGTTTTGATGCCTTCAGTGAGAATCTCCCAATGTAAAAAAAAAAAAAAAAACACATTGGATGAGAAGGTGTGTCCAAACTTGTGGCCTGTACTGTTAATTCTTCCAAAATTAGATACACAGCTTTTGAATATTGATATAATATCACAGGAAAAATATCACGATATACTGCCATATAAATATTTTCTTACATCCCTATTATCAGTATTCTGTTTACATTTACATTACATTTCATATTGTAAATAGAAATAAAACTGCATTTGTCAGCTTTTGGCTGAATTCTTAAAAGGGTGGGGCCATATCATAGAAAATCTATTTTTTTAATCTTTTTATCATGTGATGTTATTTCCTCATAAAAATTTTTTTGGCCGCATTCATACATTTTCCTGTTTCAGCCGCAAGTTTTGATTTTTACTTTGAAAATCCTGTAAATCCTTAATAGAAACTAGTCTGGTCATCTGGCCCTGATTCTCTCCCAGAACATGGGCAGAGTTTCACTGAAAAAAACTTTTATTTCCGGGTATAATTTCAGGCTAAGGAAAATAACTCATAATTAAGATAAATTACATCTCAATTGTGGCAATGGTAATATTTTATCGAATACTGTGCCTACCTTTGCTTACCTAATGGTATACGGGACTTTGAGCTGGCCAATCAGTCAACAGCAGTGGGCATTTTGGACTAGTTCAGCTCCAGGCAGACCGCCTCGGGAAGAGGGCTGAAAAGACGTCAGGAAAATCCAAGGCTCCCTAAATGAGACCACTCCCAGCACAATCCAGGCAAAGTGGAGCTGATGCTAGTGTGTAGGTTCCAGAGATTGGTTAGGGTTAGGGTTGCTGAGGACCAAAGTAATGTTATTTTTTTCTCTAAAGAATCCCCTTCCTCATTGTTTAGGACATCTGCTGAAGAAAAATGAGAGCTTTTATCAGTTTTGCATCGATAGCAGAAAAGCATTTTGTGACCATTCGTATGTGGGAGTGCTTCACAGTGGACTCACTCAGTTTATCCATGAATAAAGAATGGTACCTAACCGTCCTCCCAGAGGCACGCCTCCAATCACCCAAGAACTGTTTGGTGATGAACGGTCTGTCTTTCAGGCCACACTATGAAGCAGAAGAACTAAATGGCTCAAATAACAAAACACTTTGGATCTATGGCCCAGAAACTCTCCAGACCTTAATCTCATTGAGAGTTTGTGGTCAGTCATCAAGAAGAATTGGATGGACAAAAAACCTCACAAATGTGGACAAGCCCCAACCTCTGACCCGATGCTCATCCAAGTAACCAGGATGATAGGAGGGAAGGGAGCTCTGCCAGGCGACAGCCCGGTTATTTATTCCTCTTCCCAATCTGACAGATGACTCTGTACTGATGTTTCCCAAGGGACTGGGGCCAGATTTAGATACAGCTCTGACTGCTGGGAGCTCAGCTCATGTGGACGGGAATCCTCTTTAGATATTCTCTGGTTATTAAATATTGACAGGAAATGGCTCCTTCTCTACTGTTTGAATGGTAATCAAGCAAGTCTTGTGATTGTTGCTCGTTTCCACTGAAAAGTTAATATTCACCAACATCCGCCTGACATTTTATCAACGGGAAACTTGTGATGTCACTGTAGCAGCTTCATTCCTTCCGTATTTATGGGATGGTGGACAGTGTTTTGTAACAATATCTCCTAGTTTCTTCGAGCATACGGATGACCTTGTGAGTTACCGTTGATAACTTCCAAGGTTGGTCTGTATCAGAGAAATACAAAAGGCCAAAAGACTCGTTTGGGAGGCTATAATCCCTGCAGAAAACTGATTTGTCAGCATACTCTGTAAAACCAAAAGCAGTCTTCTTAGCCCCGCTTTCTCTGGTTGTAGTAGGGTACTGTTTTCAGGATGTAATGTATCTGGAACGTAACTGACATTTTGAAAGACATCCTAAGAAAAGACTCACTCAGTAAAGAATCACAGCAGCTGTCCTTGAATTCCTTCTCGGACGGAAAATGTCAAGATTGACTTTCTCACTTGCTAGCACTCAGAAATTGATTCAGCAAGTGTTATTTTTACTTCTTAGCAACAAGCACTTTTCCTTGGCAGGGGCAAACTGTCCTTTATCTCAAGCAGAGCAGTTCTAAATTAAATAGCTACCTACTCAACATATGGTGCAACACGAGTGGGAAATGACACCAATCACAACATCATGTTGGTTTTCCTCAGGCTGGCTGTGTTTCAGTGGATTCCTTTAAAATACACATTATTCTGATTATTGCTGATGAAGCTGGTTTGATGTGTGTGTCGTTGAGGGGAGTCGATGTCCAGGAAGCTGCTGCTTCTCTTCACCCCCCCTCAGCAATCTGATCACCCATGCACTTCCCTCTTTCTCCCCCTCGTCTCTCGCTCTGCCGGTCTGTCTCTCCTCCACCCTGATGTCTCCATCCTCGGCCGGCTGCTGCGACCAGACATCAAGGTCAGATCTCTCCCTCCTTCTGTCGTTCTTTTCGTCCTTTCATTGACTCTACATTTCCTGTGCTCTGGTGCAGTTCTCAAATTTCTGCCTCTGCCCAACATGCCGCTTTTATTCTTGCTTCCCCTCTTTGCTTCTCATACAAATGTGTAAATTAGAGATGTGGAACGGCCAACAGTAGTGCTGTTACACACTTTGGTGTGTCTTCCTAAATCATTTAGATCTTCTGTTTTTGCAGAATAAGTCCTGCAGCATCCTCATAGAAGAATCTGATATTGAGAGAAAGGTTTTAAAATGTATTGGTAAACGTGGAAACGAGATGAAATTCCACACAATCTGCTGACTAAAATGACTAAATCTCCACTGTGAGATGATCTGATCTACGTCTGTGGTGAGTGCTAGACATTAAATTGCTACTTCATCACAGAATCAAGCACTAATTTTATTCTGTTGGTGTTTGCGTCACCTGATTAAATCTGGTCTTGACCTCCACCTCCTCTTCATCTTTTCTTTACCAACACAGATCTCTGCCACGTTTACTGGTATTTAGGCATTTTTTGATTGAAGTTGTTTTCTGAAAATGTTTGTTGTTTTCCTAGAACACATCCCACATCGGTCCGTAGGGACATTTAGTCAAATAAATAAACGAGTTCAGATCAGCTGATATTTGTTTTTCACGACTAAAATTTTATCAGTGAGAAGAAAAAAATATGTATTGCTTAATTTTGAGTTTGTTTGGCCAACGTCTTTAAAAAAATGTTGGATAGTTGACCTGCAGGATTTTAACTCAAACACATTTAGCAGAAGCTAACTGTTAGCATTAGCAACTTCACAACACAGCAGAACTCCTTCAAGCTTGTGTTTTTTGTGGAGATAAAACATCAACGTAGCAAAGCAAATGGAGTGAGTCAGTGATGGTTGTGTTGCTGTTAGCCAATAAGAGGTGAGATATCCAAATACCAGAGCTTTTTTCCTCAAAGAACGGCTCACAAGGCATTCATTCTTACTTGAGACCTCTGCAAATGCATTAAAAATATGAGTAAAGTTGACCAATAAAAGGGTTCTGTAAAAACTTTTATATATTTAGAAACTGTCCCTTGAGACTCCATGTAGCATATGATGCTTTGTTAGGGCTCAAAATGGCCCAGGAGTCCTGATAAATTGCCAAATACATGCCCTAATGAAGTTCCTAAATGGAAAGACCCATTTGCCCCGCCCACTTGGCCAGGGCATGAATATTAATAAATGAGCTGCCAGTTTATTTCAATGGTTCTACGATGCTGTCTGAAGCTAGAAACTCCGTGTTCAGCTGTGTTCAGTGTCCAGATAACTCAATAGGCAAGCTATTAATCTATCTGGGATTCATTCAGTCTAGATATTCCCGTTACATCTTGGAACATTGTGTCCTCTGACATTCTTTTTTGTTGTTTTTCTCACAAGGATGTTAGTAGCATCTCAGTCTACCATTAGCATTAGCTTGGGCTAGTATCATTCTACGGTTAGCATTACAGCAAACCCACATATGTATATACACTCACCTAAAGGATTATTAGGAACATCTGTTCAACTTCTCCTTAATGCAATTATCTAATCAACCATTCCCATGGCAGTTGCTTCAATGCATTTGGGGTGTGATCCTGGTCAAGATAATCTCCTGAACTCTTAACTGAAGGTCAGAATAGGAAAGAAAGGTGATTTAAGCAATTCTGAGCGTGGCATGGTTGTTGGTGCCAGACGGGCCGGTCTGAGTATTTCACAATCTGCTCAGTTACTGGGATTTTCACCCACAACCATTTCTAGGGTTTACAAAGAATGGTGTGAAAAGGGAAAAACAACCAGTAATCGGCAGTCCTGTGGGCGAAAATGCCTTGTTAATGCTAGAGGTCAGAGAATGGGCCAACTGATTCAAGCTGATAGAAGAGCATCTTTGACTGAAATAATTACTCGTTACAACCGAGGAACGCAGCAAGGCATTTGTGAAGCCAACACGCCCAACCTTGAGGCGGATGGACTACAACAGCAGAAGACCCCACCGGGTACCACTCATCTCCACTACAAATAGGAAAAAGAGGCTACAATTTAGACCAGCTCACCAAAATTGGACAGTTGAAGACTGGAAAAATGTTGCCTGATCTGACGAGTCTCGATTTCTGTTGAGACATTCAAATGGTAGAGTCAGAATTTGGCGTAAACAGAATGAGAACATGGATCCATCATGCCTTGTTACCACTGTGCAGGCTGGTGGTGGTGGAGGTGTCATGGTGTGGGGGATGTTCTCTTGGCACACTTTAGGCCCCTTAGTGCCAATTGGGCTTCAATTAAATGCCATGGGCTACCTGAGCATTGTTTCTGACCATGTCCATTCCTTCATGACCACCATGTACCCATCGTCTGATGGCTACTTCCAGCCGGATAATGCACCGTGTCATAAAGCTCCAATCATTTCAAACTGGTTTCTTGAACATGACGATGAGTTCACTGCACTACAACGGCCCCCACAGTCACCAGATCTCAACCCGATAGAGCGTCTTTGGGATGTGGTGGAACGGGAGCTTCGTGCCCTGGATGTACATCCCACCAATCTCCATCAACTGCAAGATGCTGTCCTATCAGTATGGGCCAACAATTCTAAAGAATGCTTTCAGCACCTTGTTGAATCAATTCCACGTAGAATTAAGGCAGTTCTGAAGGTGAAAGGGGGTGAAACACCGTATTAGTATGGTGTTCCTAATAATCCTTTAGGTGAGTGTAGGTGCCGTTGAAGTGGGTTCGTTTCTCAGAACGAATCGTTTCTCTGCAACCTTTAGAACATAACATGGGAAAGCAGGTCAGAGACAGCACAGCCTTTTTGTTACGCTACATCAAACACCCCAAGTTGCCTATGTTCACGTTAAATGTGGTTTTGAATTCTAGGACTCCTTTAAAGGAGAAGGAGCTGAAGGTGAAATGAGTCACTGTTGGGTGTTCGGAAAGAGGCAGAAGCCTTTAATATTGATGTGTTTCCTCTCCTTCCCACAGTCAAGACTACCAACATGGGATTTTCCAGTCCATTGGTTTTAAGGAATTTCATGACTTCCTGACTGCTCCTGAAAGCAGCAGCCAGCAGGAAAAAGACCAACTGAGAGACAAAGGTCAGAAGAATATACCTGCCCACGGTCACTTAGGTGACTTCAGGTGCTTCTGGTTTGTGAAGTGGTTGGCAGATCAACCAGAAGATTCCCTTTAAGGGTATCTTTTTCATATCTGTTTCTGTTTTCTGTCACTTTGTTTCCTCATTTTCTTCTCTCCAGGTATAGAAGCTTTGAAGATTGCTACAAAGCGTTACGCCCGTAAACAGAACAAATGGGTCCGCAACCGCTTCCTGACGCGTGAGTGTTCTTCACTCAGCTGACGAGCAAACAGCTCTCTCTTTATCACGATGAGATTCTGTTTTGTGCATAAATTATGTTGTTGGTTCTATTTTTAGTTTTAGTTTATTGACTTTATTCAAAATGTGTCATTTGTTATCTGAAACATCTTCTTCCTCACACATATTTGGTTCTGACTTCATGCATCATGTTTGAGCTGGTTTGACGTAGCCATGGGGATAATGTTTCAGGCCCCATCCTCACTGCACACCTGCAGCTCAGACCTTTGACTGCGTTTTCATCAACACTTTGTCCCCGGTGCCCTCAAAAGCATGGAAACGAACCGCAGTGTTTGGTTACGCGCCAGATTATCCGCCGCAGCAAAACGCACCAACGGGACCATCGGGACTGCAGTTTCCAGGCTGGTTTCAACCCCTGGAATGTAAAAAATGTTTTAAAAAGCGGGTAAAGTTTTTGTTTTCTTTCCTCTGAGCAGAAACGTGTCCTCCCAGTCTGACCAGCAGCGTGCCCTTCAGTAAACCCTCCCTTCCTAATCCTGTTAGCCCCGAGTGGCTTAAGGGCCTCAACAGGCCCTAAACCTCAATACCCCTCTTCCTGAGCGCCTGCCTACCCACCATATGGTCCTCCGTGTGGGTTTATGTGGCTGTTTTTTCACACACAGTAATCTATCTGGAGTTGCCTCTGTTTTGCACAATCACACGTGTCACAGTGGGTGACACGTTTCATATAATATAGTTTACGAAGCATCGTTGTGTGTCTGATCTTTGTTGATTTTAATAATTTATTTTCCATCCAGAGTTCCTTAAGACTCTGGGTGTTGTGGGGCTGTGTTGGCTGACGTGGCTCTGCAGTATCGCGTGGATATTGGGGGGCAGTTCCACTGGATTGACAGACTGGGGTGGTGGTCCCCCTGTTTAAAAAGTGGGACTGCAGGGTGCGTTCCAACTACAGGGAGATCAAACTCCTAAGCCTCTCTGGTAAGGTCTACTCAGAGGTTCTGGAGAGGAGGATCGGTCGGATTGTTGAACCTCGGATTCAGGAGGAACGAAGTGATATTGGTCCAGGCTGTGGAACCCTGGACCAGCTCTGTACCCTTAGGGGAATCCTGGAGGGTGCATGAGAGTTCAGTTCATCCAACCAGTCTACACGTGTTTTGTGGATTTGGAGAAGGCGTTCGACCGCGTCCTTCGGGGGGCCTTCTGGGGGGGTGCTCCGGAAGTATGAGGTACCAGGCCCTCTGATAAGGGCTGTTAGGTCCCTGTATGATCGGTGTCAGAGCTGTATTACCGATTCTGTTCATAACTTTTATTGACAGGATTTCTAGGCGCAGCCAAGGTGTTGAGGGGATTTGTTTTGGTGGCCTGAGGATCAGGTCTCTGCTTTTTGCAGATGATGTGGTCCTGCTGGCTTCATCAGACAGTGATCTCCAACTTTTGCTGGAGCGGTTTGCAGCCGAGTTCGAAACGGCTGGGATCACAATCAGCACCTCTAAATCCGAGACCATGGTCTTGAATTGGAAAAGGGTAAAGTGCCTTTTCCGGGTCAGGGATGAGGTCCTGCCTCAAGTGGAGGAGTTTAAGCATCTCGGGGTCTTGTTCACGAGTGAGAGAAAAATGGAGCGTGAGATTGATAGGTGGATTGGTGCTGCATCTGCAGTGATTCGGGCGTTGTACCGGTCCGTCGTGGTGAAGTGAGAGCTAAGCCAGAAGGCAAAGCTCTCGATTTACCGGTCGATCTATGTTCCTACCCTCACCTTTGGTCAGGAGCTTTGGGTGGCGACCGAAAGAACGAGATCACGGATACAAGCGGTTGGTTTTCTGTGCAGGGTGGCCGGGCTCTCCCTTAGTGATAGGATGAGAAGCTTGGTCATCCGGGAGGGGCTCGGAGTAGATCTGCAGCTCCTACACGTCAAGAGGAGCCAGTTAAGGTGGCTCTGGCATCTGGTCAGGATGCCTCCTGGACGTCTCCCTTGTGAGGTTTTCCGGCCACGTCCAACCAAGAGGAGACCCAAGGGAAGGTACAGGACAAGCTGGAGGGACTATGTCTCTCAGCTGGCCAGGGAACGCCTTGGGATTTCCCTGGAGGAGCTGGCATAAGTGGCTGGTGAGAGGAAAGTCTGGGTCTCTCAGCTTAAGCCGGGCGTACACTGTGCGACTTTTTCACTCGTAGCGCTCAGCTTCAGCTCAAACTGTACGACTTCCTCACAGAGCAGATCTCACGAGTCGTGTGCTCACACTGCACGACCCAGTTCTCGGATGCGACCTGAGTGCTCACACTGTACGTCTGGTAGCAACACGTCGGCCCTAAAAATGTGCTAAAAATAGCAGTTTTTACTCAACACGTCAGACTTTTTTGTCTTGCCTGTTGTCCTTCGGGAGTACTGCAGGAAGACACACAGGGATTTATGGGGGTTGGATGAGGAAAACGAAATAAAGAAAGTAAATCTGTGTTTTGTGATCACTTTAATTTGACATGAACACGACAAACACGCTTTCTTGACAATCTTTGTGAGTAAAAAAAACGTGTAGAAACAAAAACGAACAGTGTGTGTTATTAGGGAAATAGCGAGCGACCGGCCGGCGTTGATGCAGGATTGCGCGCGCATGCGCCGTGAGCGGTTCTGATACATTTTGGGTCGCAGCTGCTCGCAGCGCCGCTTCAACAGTGCGATACCCTCACGAGGGACGAGCGAAATATTAAACACACCAGAAGTCCGTGCGACCTCACGACTGCTGATCGGCGGCTGGTCACGTGGTGTTAATCGCCTCTTGTAACCCCCTGTACACTACACGACCGCTCGGCGCAAAACTCGCCCCGATGTCGTGGATTCTCGCACGGCTGGAAAATCGGCTCAAAAAAGTGAAAAAGTCGCACAGTGTACGCCCGGCTTTAGGCTGCTGCCCCAGTGACCAGACTCCAGATAAGCAGCTGAAAATGGATGTATGGATATTTTCTCTTTGATGAACTTTGGTTCATGCATGCACACATTGAAAAAACACGAGCCTCCTAGCCTGGCAAATCTGGCTAGGATAGAAGTAAATATCTTGTCAGGCCACAACTCAGAGACAGACCTTGGTTGTTGGGCTGGAATCTACGATTGTTTTTCAAGTCGTCACGGCTCGCTGAACTAGGGCCGATCAGCGCAACGAGCAACATGATGTAATAATGTCTTCTGAAATCAGTCAATGGGCCAGTCTGCCATACGTCATCAAATAAGAAGAAAATAACAAAGAAGAAGAAGACGAGGCACAAGAAGAAGACAAAGAAGATGAATAAGAAGATGTAGAAGCAAATTAAGACAAAGAAGAAAATAAAGAAGACAATGGTGAAAAAGAAAACAACAACGGATAAGACAGAGAAAAAGAAGAAGTTGGAGAAGAAGCAGAAAAAGTCAAAGACGAAAATGACAGAGATGATGAAGATAGCGAAAAAGAAGACGACAGAGGAGGAGAAGAGGATGATGATGAAGAAGACGACGATGAAGAAGAATATACATCCTTTTCTAAATAAAGGATTTCCGTACTTCTATCTGCTCTTGACTCAAAGAAAAACTCAAGTCTAAATCATCCAGAGTTGATGCCAAAGCCATTTCAAACATGCGCCGTTCCTGAGCCAACGCCATCGTTGTCATTTTTCTCCATTGCTAAGCCAGCTCAGTGTCTCTCGAAATAACGAATGAAAACTATCTTTTGTACAGCTCCTCTCAAGATAAAATCACAAGTCGCTTCACAAAAACAAAAATAAATTAAAATATAAAAAAAGATTTCAAAAAATGATTAAAAATATGTTTAAAATGAGAACATCGATCACTGTGATTGGCCTAACCTACAATGGTTCCGGCCAGTGGTAGACCACCTGAGGCTACAATGGAGCATTGCTAGACCGAGAGCGAAACCCTTTGTTCCTGCTACAGTTGGTGTAGATTTCTAGGCTATGAGCCTTCTACACAACGTTTAAACCTTATATCAAAGTCACACCAAATAATAAATCACAGTTTTTTGGACAAAGGTCTACTATCTAACTATTGTGTGGTGTCAAGAAAACCATTGTCCACATTTTCCTTTTTTAGTTTTGCAGTTACTATATGCACATAATTGTCCTGCAGAAGATTTCTATCGTTTGAAGAATGTCAAACTATCTGTAAGTACATTTTATTTATACAGCACTTATCACAGACATGGAATCACAACGTGCTTCACATAGATCAAAACATAATAAAAACACTTTTTCTGTAAAATCTTTGAAGGACACGCCTGACAAATATGTCTTTCTGCTGTCGTTGTTTGATTTTTTTTTTACTAAAATTAGAAATGCCAAGTATTTGTTATTTTTCGGTACTGTTCACTCAGCTATCAGAAGTATTTGGAAGCTTGTTCATTAAAGAATTGCCTGATAAATTTCACACGGAAGGCCTTTATGGAGGAAGAAAATGTGCTTGGAATGTGCATGTGCACATAGTCGAGCCTTTATTGGACCTTGGTAGATGTCTCAAAGCTTAATCGGAACCTTGAGAAACCTAATAGTCACATTTTTTAGTAGTGATGACGTTGTTGAGTCTTTTTAACCATAGAGGCACCGTTTGTATCCGAGTCTGTGTTTTGTGAGGGAGACTGTCCCACCGTATCACTCTAAACACCACCTTCAGTCTCTGTTTACCATTTCATGTTGCTGTGACTGCTGACTTCTTTTCTGTTGTGTCTCAGACACACACACACACACACACACACACGCACGCACGCACACACACACACACGCACGCACGCACGCGCGCACACACACACACACACACATGCCTCAGAAGCCTCAGCTGAGCAGGCTAATCTCCTAAAGAATTACAGAGCTGCTGGGAATTCACCCATACCACACAGACTTGAGTAACAAGGTTGCCGAGGTTCACACACACCAGCCCAAACACACTGAGACTGTAGCAGGTAGGGCGGCACAAACTATCACTAATTTCTTCTTATCGCAAAGTCAATTCGTGCTCGATGAACATGCCA